GGAGGGGAGGGGAGGGGGGGGAGGGCTCTAACTCATGGCACTTCATATAAAACACCATGAGTTTGAGTGAGGCCCTATACATCTGTAGGCACCCTGCGTCCCCAAACCAGTTGCCTTCTTCCTAAACTAATTAAAAGAGTATACACGCTTTTCTTAACTTTGTAGCCTGAAAATTGCATTTTTGAGTAAGTATTTTCAGCTGACATGGAGGTTAACCTTCAGCAGCACCTCCTTGCTCTGGTAAAGGTCCTGAAATCTAGTCTTACTGCCAAAATGATCCACAAAGGAAATCTTTTCCCATGAGGATAACCAAAGAGAACAAAATAACAACTTACTGTTTCATAATCTCTGATTGGGTTCAAGTAGCTTTCATTTGGGTTCTTGCCAAGTCCAGAAAGTTTATTTTGTAACTCGCCTGCTTCCTTTGACTGGCTTATATGATATCGCTCTATGTTGACCAAATGTGCAACAATATGTATGACTGTATGAAAAAGAGAACTATGTAAAATTAAACTTACTTTCCGAGATATATACAATCCTGGAGTCAACATTATTAATTATGACAGGAACCATTAAAAAGCTTTGTTTGGATTAAGAACCTTACACAGAAATCAGCAACAAAAATAAACTTTTATCAATGTGCAACACAGAGGTTATGTTTAAGTTGTGGAAGAACCACTTTAGCATAATCTTACCATGTTAATTGTCCCAATAACATCATTTCTTATGTTTCACAATGTACTGACACTTACCTTTTGATTTCCTAGGAGGGTGACCTCTTGGTGGGAACAAGCGATAATGATCTGTTACCTTGATTTTCAAATGCTAATAAAGTAAAATAACTTAAATCCCAAAAGTTCTTGAAAGGCTAGGTTCTTTCCAGAGATGGATCAAAGATTTAGGGGTATGGGAACAGCTCCCATGCTTCAGGAGTGGCTGCACCCCAACTCCCAGCCTGCTTCTTCACAATTCACCAATGCAGACTGCACCATTTAAAGTCTGCAAAGCAGGTAAAAATCCCTGCTTCCCCTCTGTGCTCAAAGGCACATCCCCTCCTCTCCCCATACTCCTCCCCACCCCTGTCCCTGGTGTTTTCCTTTCTGTCCCAGGGGGAGGCGGGGGAAGCTTCCAGGCTGCTCCTGCCCATTTCAGCCAGGCTATGGTGGGGCTGGGCTTAGTGACACTCCCCTGGGAACAGGCACAGCAAGTGGGAATTCACCCCTCTGCCCATCGCTGCTCCCACTGTCACTGTTCCTAGCTGAGCCCAGACCACATGTAGTCTGGCTGCAGCAGGCAGGAGTGGCTTTGAAGCTTTTGCAACCCTGGACAGCAGGGAAAGCAGCTGCCACAGGCAGGGGAGCAGGGGAAGGGGGGGAGAGGACCTGCCCTTGGGTAAGTGGGTGGGATTCTTACCTGCTTTGGGGATTTGTCACCAAAGGCTTTCCTGGCATGGTCCAATCCAATCCCACTCTGGATCCCCCCGGATGTGTCCTAGTCTGATTTAGTAGTGCAGGGGATCAATGTCCCTATATAGCCACATAAAAGTGATCTAGATAGCAGGTCTGGCACCATGGAGAATAAAGTGGATGCACCCAGAAACAACTGCATAATTAAGGGGGGCTGGGAGGATGACCAGGACAGCAGCCACAGTCACTCAACTTGGGGATAGGGGGAGGAGGAGAACAAAAATAGTAGCTGCTGCAGCTGCCAGCACCTGCCATTGCCTCTGCTGCAGCCACAGAAGGCCCCCAGAACCTCAGGTGAGGCTACTGGGGCCACCATCAGGCTGGCCCCAGCCTCCCCTACCATCCCCAGGGTAACTTGCCATGTGCCAAAGCATGAGTGGCATGGGTGTTCCCTGGCGACAAGTAGCAGTGGTGCAAGGGGAACCAAACGTCCGGGAAAAGAAATGTCCACACTCATCTGGATGTGGCCAATCGGGGACCTTGGTTTTTTACTCTTTAACATAGATGATTATTCAAATCATGCTACATCCAACATTTTATAATTTTAAAGTAGGATGGATTCTAAATATTCATAAACTAGCTGTAATTAACACAAAACATTCAATACAGTAGCCTGAAAAACAACACTGAAAAACAATTAGATGTTTATAGTGCAGCTAAAAATATGTTATTTCTGGTTTTCATAATTGACTTTCAGTCACTAATCTCCACTTTCATGTTATGTTCCCATATTATCTGCGTCTGTGTCTGACCATTAAAAAAGCTCACATTAAAAATCAGTAATTGAAGCAATATGAATATGATCTGCTTCACTGAATAATAATACTTTACCATACCAGAGCCACTCCTTTCAGGGGACAAATTAGTGGAACTGACACATATTGAGCTGCCAGTAGAATGATCCAGAGAGGAAATTGATAAATTAAGCAGTGACAAATCACCATGGCCAAATGGTATTCACTTAAGAGTCCTGAAGGAGTTCAAACTTGAAATTGCAGATCTACTGACTTACTATGTACTAAACCCAGCCTCTGTACTGGAGAACTGGAGGGTAGTCACTGTAAAGGCAATCTTTAAAAAGAGCTTCAGAGGAGATTCAGGGGACTACAGACCAGTAAACCTAACTTCTGTTCCTGGAAAAATTGTAGAAATTATAATAAAAAAATAGGATTGCCCATCACATGAATAAATATAACTTGCTAAAAAAGAGCTAACACAGCTTTTGTAAATAGTTGTTATGCCTCACCAGTCTACTAGAATTTTTTGAAGATGTTAACCAGTATTTAGATCAGAGTGATACACATGTAATGTATCTGGACTTTCCAAAAAAGGTTTTGACAAAGTCTAGCATCAATGGCCACATTCAGACATGCAGGCATGTGCAGTTTGTTGTGCTGCAAACCTCTTTATGCTGCCACAAATCACACATGGGGACTGTTAAAATATGCCTCGCACTGCACATTTGCAGTGTGGAGCCAAAATTTGCTATTGGGAAATCCTGGTAGCAAAAAAAGTGCCAGAAAAAAAAAAAGCGGTACAGTGCACGTGACAAGAGTGTGCGCCGTAAGGCATGGAAGCTCGCTTCTCCAGGGAGACACTAGCTGCTGGCCAGAGCATCTCCACTCCTTCCACTGTGCCCTGTCTCCTCCAGGATGCTGGGAGCCAGGAGGAGCTGGCAATAGTTTGCCTGAAGCAGGACAATTTGTCCCTCACTAAAGCATGCATGCAGGGGTGTGTGCTGAGGCAAAAAGCAGCAGCACAAATTTGTGCTGCTACTTTTGCTGCTGCAAGCCCATGCCCCTGGACATCTGGACATGGCCAATGGCTCTTAATGAAAGCAGACTGTTAAAGCAGGAGAGGAAAGGTCTACTTGTGGATCAGCCACTGGCTAAGGGACAGGAAACAAAGAGTGACAAATATATGGTAATTTCTCAGAAGGGAAGCAGACCCCCGTGGTTTGTACTTGAGTCTGTGTTCCTTAACATATTCATAAATTATTTGGAAAAAGGAGTGACTATGAGGTAGGTATGTTTGCAAATAATGACACCAAATTATTCAGAGTAAAAAAGCAGATGAAGTTCAATGTTGATAAGAGAAAAGTGAAACACATGGAAAAAATAAATCCAGATGTATATGCATGATAATGGGTTCTACATTAGCTGTTACTACTTATGAAAGAGACTTTGAAATTGTGAATAATTATCTGAGAACGTCAGCCTAGTGTTCAGAAGAAGTAAAAGAAAAAGCAAATAGGATTTTAGGAATAATTAAGAAGGGGATCAAAATCAAAACAGAAAATGTCACTATACTGCTGTACAAATCTATGGTACACCTACACCTAGAATATATTTTTTGGAGATGAGAAAACTGTTGCACATTGCTATGGTGATGTAGCGTCACATGTAGATGCACCCAGATGGACTTAGGAATTGCAACACCTAACTTTTATATGCCCAGTTCCAGATTCACAGAAGTCAGCATGCTGAGCAAAGAGCTAGAAAACCTAGTCAGCAGGAAATTCTGAGAAGATCTTAGACTCACCCTTCAAACTTAATTAGGAACTTAACTTCAGGTTGGAGGGTTGTATTTATTTTCATTTAGTATTTCTTGCTATGGACCACTTCCTGGAGTTAGGCACCTAAGTCTCATCAGTCCTTTCTTATGTGGTAGGCTTTGGAGCAGGTAGACAGAAAACTGGGGAACAGGAGCAGAAAACTCTGGCTTTCCTTCCTTTCTTGTGACAAGGGATTTAGCAGAATTCATAGATTCATTGGAATCTGATGTGGCTGCGCCATGAGCTTCTGCTATGACTTCAAACTTGCAACATCTGGGCTGCCAACTGTGCATCATAGTGCCCATGCACTACCCCAGCCCCCTAAGACTCTGAAAAGGAAGGCTAAGTGACTGATATCTGTTGGATTCATATTGAAGTGCTTTATTCTGTGGCCTGCTAAAGATTGCTGATGCAACCAAAAGTGCTATCTGTTCTCTCTTGTTTCTACGGTCTTGGTTCCTCTTGTTTTCTGTGTGCATGGTAGGAGGCATGACTGTGGGATTCAGCATCAGATTCCATCACATCATATTGCCAGTGCAGGGGGAGCCCAGAATCACTATCCTTAGCTCCCCCTGTACCGACAAGTAGCAAGCTCCTGCAGCTGGAAGCTCCATCAGCTGATCCTGGCTCCCAGCTGTGAGGGTATACCATGTGCTTCCTCACAGCTGGGAGCCTCTTCAGCAGTTTCCAGCTGTGAGAGCACATGGTGCCCCTCTATGGCTGGGAGCCCAGATCAAGTGATGGAGCTTCCAGCTGCGGGACCACACCCTGAGGCTGGAAATCCCAATCAGCCTGGCCACATGTCCAATTAATGGCATAACAGAAACCAGCTATAAAGTTAACACATTTTTTGTTTAATAGTTTTGTGGCTTATTTCTTGTTGTATCATGCCATAAATTGCATTACCATGTGGGTGGGTAACAATTTAAGGGATGATTAACTGGTTAACTGCTGTGCCAGGGACCTATGACTGTTAGGTATCATGCATAGCTAAAGTAACACATACTAAATAACTAAAGCCTTGGTACTGAGTAATTTTCATACCTAATATCAACAAGGCTCTTTCCTGAAGCATTCCCTGCAAAATGTGGACCTCCTGGATTACCTACACTCCTTGGAGGATCTGGAAGCATTGCCTAGGCAATGAAGCTTAAAAGTCTTATTTTTACAGCAGAATTTCTCTCTTCCTTTTCTCTCTTCCTTTTATTTATCCCCAAAGTATTATCTTAAAAAAACTTCTCCAAAACAGAACTGTTTTTTCATTCAGAAGGAAGTACTTTCTCTAAGAAGGTAATACACTTCCTTCTAGGGCCCTTGTACAAAACTGAGGGTGCATACAAATGTTAATTGCACTCAGGCTATGATCACACAACTTGCTTTATAAGCTGTATGTTCATAGACTTGGAGCAGCATGTGCAGATATCTGCTGGTGCTGGAAGCTCTGCTGGGAACTGGGTGTAAGTACCTCAGGGTGGGGAGAAGAGGCTAGGGGGTCCATGTGGTGGGGGTTGGGAGGTCAGGGGGATTGGCAGGATCAGGGGGGCTGGCAGATCTGTGGGGGTGGTGGTTGGTCTCCAGATGGGTAGTTTATCTGGGGGTGGAGAGCTCAGGGCACTAAAAATGGCCCAGAGTGAAGGGCAGGGCTGGGGCAAGCAGCTGGGCTTTTCCAGCCATAGGGCTACACTCTTAAACATGTGCGGATGTTTGCTGGATCAGGTTAATTCATTTCTGATATAAATAAGTTCACCTACTCAGGTGAACTAATATATATAGGGTCCTCCATTTTGGCCTGATTTAAACCCCCTGAATGTCTGCACAAATCAGCATTTAGTTAGGTTGATCTAAATGTCATATCTGCATGAATATAATGGCTACTGAACAGATGTAACTGAATTGGTTAGTGGTCTTAATACCATTCCTATTGGATCGATAGAAGCCCATATCAAAGAACATAAGCAACATAATTGCCAATCTCAAAGGGGAAACCGTGGATTAAATGGGAGTAGCCCCTTCCTCATTTGAAGTAATCTTTTAGCCTGTGGTTCAGTTGTGGAAACATGTTAGTATACCTACTCATCCATTTTCTCATTGAAAAGAGAGCAGATTTCTGTTCTTTGTCTAATATACTTTGTTACAGTTGCTTGAACATTGTTTTATACCAGCAATATATTGCTTTATTCTTCTGCCATGGCCAGAGATGTGTACTGACAAAAAATATCCACATCTTACTGCTATGGTCTATTTTGTCAGTCTTAGTAAAAACTACCTGCGGTCGTAAGCCTTCAGGTTGTGGGTGCCAGTTGTTTCTACTTGTACCTGACAGGTACAGCACAGATCTTCTAGACTGAAAAACATCATACAAGCTACTTTGTGCCAGATGGTAATAGATATAACCCTAAACAGAAAAACAGTAACATTCAAACTAATGTATAGACAATGTCGTCTTACCTGAATCTCCAAAGTTCTTAAATAGTGTGGTTTCTTTAAGTAAAATAGTTGTAGCAGACTAAAACATCCGGCACAAGAAATGCTGCAATTTGTTAAAACATTTTAGGTACCTAACATACATTTTGTGGAGCTCTTCTGGATCTACAGTGTGTAGATTTCACTGTGTGCTTTCAAAAACTCAACATACAAATTCCTGAAATTTGAGTTTACCATTGTTTATATTGTACTCAATTGAAATATATTTGTTATGAGCAAAAGCTTAGGATCCTGAACCTAGGATTTATTTTTTACCAGTGATTTTCCCTTCCAATGAATAAACATACATTTTAGGCCAAATTCTGGATCCCTTAATCAGGCAACTGAAGGATTTAGTCCTTTATTTTTAGTGAAACAGGGAATCCTTGAAACACTTAATAAACATTCATTTTTATATGAACCTTTAATTTTCCATCTGTGTTTAAATAATATCTCTTATGGGAGAAAGGGTGGAAAGTAGAAAGGTTGAAATTAGAGCATGGTGCCTACCGTGGATATTCCTAAATATGAAAAGAGGTGTAATTAAATTACATTCTTGAAAGTCTGGTCAATTTAGCTTGTCTTGTTCAGCCAATTGTGCCTTCAGTCAAGCATGCAGGGCTCTCATTCAACTAAACAGAAATTGCATGTGTTTATCTGAAGGCAAGATTTCCTCCTCTCTATTTCTGCATGCCTGTCCAAAATAATAGTCATACTGGAGTTCAGTACTACTAATTAATCATCTTATTCCCAGTGTGATAAAAATCAAAGGGTCAAAATCTTGATCTCTGTAACCTTACAGAAATCAATAACTTTGTATGGCCTCACCAAAACCCCAAATGAACTCTACAGCAAACTGACCCAACATTTTGTACTACCACCCCCCACCCCCAGCTTTCTGGTTCTTATTAAACAAACATATGTAACTAAAGCAACCAATACCTAAGAATAATCACTGTATCACTTGTAGCATATCTGTATGGATTTAATTCTAAACACTTATTTTTAGAATTTGCTTAAAATTCTACCCAAACAGTTTTGTGCTGAAAAAGGTGATAGATGTGGAGGGCTTTTGTAACTTTCCCCCCATAGAAATACTAGGAATCAAATCTTATTTTTCTTGTTTTTTGCTGAACAAAACTAGAACTGAAATTGAAGCATTTTTAGTCTGCTTGGATAGGGGTTTTTTTATTAATAGATTTTTTTCTTCCAAGTATTTGTCACGAGTTGTGACCTACAGAGGCATGCACTAGCAGAGCTGTAAATGGTATGATTGAAAATAGAGTTTGATAGAACATTTTCTTCAATTTTTGGTTTCTGCAGTTTTGAAAACCAGTAAGAATGGGGTTTGAACTAAATAAAATATCTTCATGCAAAGAATCTCTTCTCCCAAAAAACAATATTTGCCCAGAACAAAGCAAACAAATTTTCAGGCTTTAGCAAAATGCTAATTTCTGGACTGATACAATGCTGAAGTTTTATGTAGTGGGAAAAGCCTGTTTTTCAAACAAATTAACTAAATCTTTTTTTTCCCCTTTCAGCTGCTTGAATTTCTCTTTCTTATGGTATCATAACCCCCGAGGTCTTGTAGCCTTACCTACATATAAACCTTCTCCAGGAAAGAAAGTAGGTTTTAAATGTAAAAAAGTAGAAGAAAAAGCTAGCTTTTTAAGTATTCTTTATATGTTAGAAATAATAATAATAATGTCAACACCACCACCACCACCAATAATAATAATAAACCCATTTTAGGTTAGCTGTAAGTGCTCAAAAACTAATCACTAATAAACTAATCTAATAATGTCTTTTACATTACAAAGAATGCTTTAGAAAGCATTTTATAAACATATACATTTATTTTCTTTCAAAGATGAAAATGACCTAGTATGAAATATTGCTTTCTATGAAACATTATTTACTCATCTATTATTAAGCTCTTTATATTCAAGGTACTGCCTTTTGACTGAAAAGTCCCATTTGAGTTAGAAAGTCTAGAATGATTTTCATTGATCATATTGAGAGTCTGTGAAACTATGATTTTATTCTAGTAGAGTTGAAGGTCTATAAGGAAGATTTATTAGTGGGTGAATAACTCCCAGGCAGCTCTTATCATAGACAAGCATGCAGAAAGGCAGGAAGCCAAACTAAGCAGAATTCCCTTTACTGAATTTTCAATGATGCCCTTGATTATAGATAACATTGTTTACTCTCGCTTTCCTCCAACTTGCCTACTTCCACCAGTCTCTAATTATATCACATTATGACCTGGCCAATTAAAGCCTGCAGTTGAATTTGTATAATAATTGATGAAAAATTAAAGACACAGATGTACTTTTTTCAAGGCATATGCACCTCTATAATGATAGTCTACTGTTTGAGAAGCAAGATAAGAATGTTAATGTTGCTCTAATTATTTTTAGCGTGCTGGTAAATGAATATGTTAAAAATACCACATGGAAAGCCAAGACACATATTCCTGGCTTTTTATTATTAAAGAGATCTACAGATTCATTTGTGAAAATTATAAGCACTGTGATCTCCTCTATAAATTGGTTTGCTGTTCTACTATCAGATTTAAATCCATTGATCATGAAGGAGAGATAATTCACTTAACTACTAACTTGTAACAGTCTTTAACAGTCTTGTTCAGTAGCTGATGCTTTAGCCAGCTACTGCATATAACATCTTTTGTCATGAAAAAAAAAATCAAGATTTCTCCCTGTACATCTTGACATTGCTAAATATTATAAAAGAAACATTTACTTCTGGCTACCTGCTTTCATACAAACATGATAATATGATTTTCCACACCATATGCAGATTGAATTTTTAGCATCTGAAGTTTCTGCAGAATTTTTTTCTTTTTAAACAGCTGATTTTTCTGGTCTTTTTTTTAATGTAAAGGAAACAAACTATTTGCCTATGAATTGATAAAGTATTTCCCAAACAAAATGTCTCTCTCACTTGCTTTTGAGGGCTTATTCTTCTGATGTCCCTTTCATTTCTTTTTCAATTATATCATCTGCTGGTCTATTCTCTCTTCCAAAAACTCCAAAACATGCCACAAAAAAATCCACCTGTTTTCTCTCTAGAGAATGGCGCTTTCTGTCACTTGATATCAGCTGCTGTGTATGTTTCTGTAATTATTAAAGCCTTAAAATAGTTATTTTCTGCTACACTTTCACAACTGTTCATTTAAATACACCAGCAAACATTTTTACAAAAATGTAAAATATAAAACAAAAGGTTTGACTGTACAATTTTGCTTCTTTCTTGGAGCATAACAAATTATACACCAAATAGCAGTTAGGTAATTTATATTCCTGGGTTTGTTTGTTAATTAAAGAAACAAGGTGGCATTTTCTAGAAATCTGGTTTATGCTTAAAGTGAACTCTGATATATGAATGGACATGACAGATAAGCAAGTGATTGTAACAGATGGCAAGATATATGTTCTACCTCCTTTCCCTTCTCTTTGTAACCATTTTAAGAACAAAATGACTATTTTAAGTTTCAGCCACCAAATGATCATGCTTGAGCAGAAGTGTATCTAAAGTTATAGGGATTTTAACATAAAGTAGAATCACTATATAATTCACAACAATTAAAGACAATGCCAAAGAAATGGAAAGCTTACTTGCATTTACAGCTATTCCATAGGCAACCACCTTGTGAAATGTGAGGCTTTTGTCAAGTTGTCTCCTTAATGCCTGTCTTCCACACTTGGCAAAAAAACAAAAAAAACACCCCCCCCCAAATATTTTAAGAGTTAGCTTCATTTATAATTGCAAACTTATAGTTTAGTAGGTGGATCAGTCAGGTTCAATACTTTTCTTTAATCAAAACAGAGTGAAGGAATTGATTGGAAATGTTGCTTTTAGGCATCAGGAACATAGGGTGCTGACAGAACTGACAATTTTTGCCCAATCTGGCCACAGAAAGCAGTCTATAGCATGACCAAACAAGTGCACAGCTGCAGACCACTTAAAAAATAGCTGATCAGGTGAAAATATGAACCCTTGTCACATGAAGGTTCAGAGGAAGATGTTTCAAAACATAGCATCTTCTGTAATTTGTGCATGCACTTGCCTCCCAGCCTCCAAGCTGTTTTCAGAATGGGAGAGGGGAAAGGGGGTGGAGAGAATTTGGTTTGGGGTATTTTTCAACCCCCACTGGAGGGTGGAGTGGGTGTTTTGGAGCCCCACTGAGGCAGGGGAGGGGGGGTCCGGTTAACACACCACACCATCGAGCTCTGACTGGGGAACCCTTAGAACAAGCTCCCTCTGCTCCCGTTCCCCCTCCCATTCTGAAAACAGTGCAAGCTGTTGGAGCAGGGGTCATTGCTCGGGGAAACTGGCTGCAGTCTTGTAGTCAGCAGCAAGATCCCCCCCCCCCCCCGAAACCAACGGTGAACTTCTGTTTGGTCTGGGGGATTGTTGCAACTCAGAACGCTTTCCGCAAAATGTTCTTAGTTACAGCAGGCCACTGCACTTCTGTCTGTGCTCATAGTGATGAGAGTTATTCAGCATTTCTCACAGGGTTTCAGTATTCTTGGGCAAGCTGTGATTGTAGAAATCGGGGAAATTGGTTGTTGATTCAGACTGTGATCTTGACTTTTAAGTCACTCCACAAGGCACAGCAGGGTCTACAAATAGCTGTAGTGTTGGCAACTCATGATTTTATTGCAAAACTAGTGATGTTTGTTTGTTTGCCTTCTCCTTGAAGTCTGCCTGGCAGCATCTACATGAGATGTGGACTGCACAGTAGCCTGAGACTACTGACGAGTGGTGGTGTATGGCAGAATCCTTGACGTGATGCTACTGCAAAGTTGTGTTGAGACTACTATGCAGTAGTGTCCCAAAAAAAGCTGTTTGTTGGTGCTACTGCACAGCAATTTGGGTTAGTGTGCTGTCATTTAGTACTAAATGACTGTGCAGTAATGACCAAGCAGTTAGAGTCTCGTGTAGACGCAGCACTTGATTTGCGTAAGTATTTCTTGAAACATAAGCCTCATGTACCAAAAGGGCTAAACAAGACAAAGAAGAACCACTAAGCACTTATTTTATAAACTCATGACTTTTCTACTAATTTGAGGGATGAGAATGATTCAACTGTATTTAGGCAATGTTTTTTTGTATGTGATAACTTTTACTGGACTATCTGTGTAGTTGCCAGGTGCCACTCACAGGGGATGGGGACAGGGATGGGGCTGGGCTTGGTACTTGTCTGGTGTGGCCTCATGCCCTGTGAGCAGCACTGGCGGTGCGGAGGTTGTGCCAGCTGGGTACCAAGCCCAGCCCCACCCCACCCCTGTCCCCATCCCCTGTGAGCAGCACTGGGCTCAGTGAGTTGGTGCCACTTGCAGGGGACAGGGCCAGGGGCAGGCTTGGCTGGTGTGACCCCATCTCCTGCAAGCCACACTGGCAGTGCTGCTTGCAGGGGATGGGGCTGCTCCAGCTGAGCACCAAGCCTGGCCCTGACTTATACGCTGTGCCTATGAAAATCCTTACCTTTCAGATTGGAAAGCTGGGGATTGACCTATACACCATGCCAACATATACACCATGAAATATGGTACAAGTACTATCCTGCTACAAAGTGAATTAGTTTACTGCAGCCTAATAGGGGTACATGTGTAGATGCTGAGACATTTACTGTGCACCTAATTAGTCAACTGTGTAGTAAACATCTTGTGCAGATGTGCCCAGTAGGTCCAATAAAAGGTATCACACATAAAAATACTTGGTCCAGGAAGGATGTGCGGGACATCACAGCTGCAAGCTCACCCCAACACTCTTTCAATTTGTATTTGTTTTTTTTCCAACATTAATGTCAAGCTCAAGTTTTATATTTTATTGCGAGGGGAAGCTATGGCATAAGCTGTAGGCACATTATTCTGCTCTCAGTGGAAGTCAGGCTTAAGATATAAGGGTAGGGAAGGACATGAGTGGAGATTGTGTATATGCTAGGAAAAGAGGATTTAAACATTATCCTTATTATATTCATGAAGTTCTTCCAAATGCACTTCCCCCCGTTGGCTTTCGTTTTGCTTCTGGACAGTAGTAAGTGAATGGACACATGGACACACATCAGGGATCCCTATTAATACGAGTTTTATTTTCTTCTTGTTCAGCTTGCCACTTGAGTGTATATGCAAACCACTTCACAATACCAAACTATGCATAACCCAACCCAAAAATAGTGTTTCTTTTGTGAGTTTTACTACAAATATTTTTTTCCTTGTAATCATGGCGCATATGTTAATTTAAAGTTATAACTAGGAAATAGTATACAGAATTCCCTACTGACAATTACATTTCTTTGAAGTTTCTGGTATAGACATCATTGTTGAACTATAGAAATAAAAACAGAAATTGTACTTACAATGCTGGTTCCTCTTATGAACGAAATAAGGTTTCTACTGACTGGTAACAGGATTAACATGCAATTAAAATTCAGGCACGTTGCAGAAGCTCTTGCACAAGCCAGTGCTGACTGTACACATAACAGTATAAAAATATTATAAATGTAGAAGGGGGAAGAAGAAATAGAAAGGAAACTTATTAAACATAATTTTTCAAATGAAAACATAACTGTTACAATACCAGAAAAATTAATGCAGTGTAGGCTGCTGATAAAATATGCATGGTATTAATATGGGAAGGTATTTATCAAACTCATACTTACCCCCAGCATAACCCGTGTATAAGTGTAAGCATCCTCTTCTTCATACCAGTAGAATGTGTCAATAAACAAATATAAATTCAATCCCAGCCACACCAGCTATAATGAAGACAAGTCTCCTATTAATGCCACCGATGACAGTTTACTACATGTTAAATCAGTTGTGGTTTTTCTTTAAAATGACTGCAAAATACTTCACTATCAGCATGAAACACAGGGCTAGATTACAAGTGTTAGAAGTGGAAAATGACTATGAGAATGAGCAAATGCAGTACTACAATTGCTTGACAGGAAACATATCCAGCACTTACTATGTGCTAGAAACTTGACCATAAGTAAAAGACTTATGGGACTGCTTGTGTTCACAAAAGGCAAAAAAAATGAAAAGTGAAGACTTTCAAAAGTACAGAGGTGGATGCATTGCGTGTCCCAATCCACTGAAAAAACCCCAGAAAATAATTCACAGGTTTCAAATACAATTACAAACCTCTGCTTCTGTTATCTGAGATTTAAAATACAACTTAAAAATAATTCAAAAGAAGATAATATGACTTTAAATTGTTTTAAGTCTAGTAATAAAAAGGCTGTTGAATATTTTATAGCAAGTTTTACATTTAACTTGGGAGTATTACTGTAAGCAAGCCATAAAAAGTCTTTTAAATAAGCTTAAAATATTTATGCATATATTCAATTAGGGGGTTTTAATATTAAAGATACTCACTAATAAGAGAACTGACAAACTTTCATTCATCCAGCATCCCATCTTGATTACCACTCAATGCTTTCTTGCCTTCCAAGTGGTTCTTGCCTGACAAGATATCCTGAATTCTTCAGACTTTACTGCTAACTCCTTTTGTCTTTAGATCTTAATAAGCACCTACTGGGAGCTGGAGATCTCTCTAGGAATTTTCTAATTAAGGGCTTCCTGCCAAGAGCAGATCACCAACCTGACATGCCTTGTGACCTGTATAAATAAAAAGCTGATCATTGTCCAGTGGTTCCTCACTATAAAGTTATTGAACAAGAAATGGGAGCTCCTTTCACTAAATGTACAACCATTATTTCTCTTTTTGTCAGCACAGTTTGGGCAGAGATTAAAAACTTTTCATGATGCAATGTTACATGATGTCAAACCTATATATATCATATATTACATAGAAATGTTAATAATAATTTAGAGTTGCAAAGTCAATCTTTCAAAAGTTAGGAGTTGCTAAAATAAAGGCTGCCTATAAAACTGTAAGTTTGACCCCATGTGAATCTGGTTTATGATAGTCTCTTAATTACATGTTGACTGTTCAGTTAGCTGCACCAGAGGCACTGTGCTGACTGATTAATCAGCTGTTTAATATTTTATTTTATCCATATTTTCTTATGTCCTTTGCACTGTTCAAACCTTGGTTTGGAGACAGAACTGTTAATAGTTTTGCTTCCTCATGGGGTTTTCAGTGGAACACATCACAATACCCTCCAAGTGTTTTACCAACATTAATTATTGGCAAATACCCATCTCTGATGAAGGGATGATAATATTCCCACTTTAGAGGTAAGGAGCTGAGGCATAGCGATAAAGTTCAAAAGTGTCCAGTGATTTTGGGTGCCCAATCTGAGATACTTCCGAGCATTATATAGTTCTTTAAATGCTCAAAGGACAGATCCCACTGACTTCAGTTGTCACTATGAGTGCCTTGCACTTGAGACCCCAGAATCTCAAATCTGATATCCACAAAATGTAAGAAAGTGACTTAGCCTCTTCCAGATACATTCATACCTTCTACGCAGGTTCAGTGCTTATCCTTTTCTAAAGATTTTGTTTTTTCCTTTTCATTCACTAAGCTTTCTTCCCCAAGGTAGCTGTTTCTAAAATTCCTTCCTCAGGACTGTCCAACACAGTGCCCTCTTCAGGGGGTTACTCCCAGGTGGAGTTAACAAGTTGTCTGAAAATAGAACTCAATAGAATTGAGTATCTTGTGGTAGGACCATGAGCTTCCAACAGGAGAATCCTTCCAGTTTGTTAAAGATTTGTTTTCTGGGGTATTTATTTGCATATAATAACATTTAGCCAATACCATCATTACAATCAATGTGAAGAACAAGTTACAGTACCTGGTTTTGTTTAACTAAGCCCAAATAATAATGATTGTTTTTTAGTCTCTTTTCTCTCTTCAGTTCCTAGCTTGAGTTACTAAGCTGAACACTAGAGGTTTTCACAGGAAAAGGAGGTAGAATTAATTCTCTTACACCTATGACAGAGCAGCCTTCAGGATTCCCAGAGTAACAGGTTCCCCAGTACCCACTCCTACTGATGTCCTGATGAGATGGTGATTTACTTCCAGTTTCATTCTTTTTCTGCAACAAGGTACTTCCAAATGGCACTTCACACCTATGCTTTAAAGGCAAAAATTCATTCATGAAATGGTATGATCATAGGATTATAGGGAAGTAGGGCTGGAAGGCCTCTCAGAAGATCAACTAATCCAGCTACCTGATTGAGGAAGGATCACCCCTGAAGAAACCATCCCATGCTAGTCTGTTTAGCCTGCTCCTGAAAACTTCCAAGGATGAAGTTTCTCTAGGTAACTTGTTCCAATGCTTTACCACCCTCATTGTCAGAAGGTTCCTCCTAATTTTTAACCAAAATTTCCCCTGGTACAGTTAGAAGCCATTTTTCCTAATCCACTCCTCTATAGCCACTGGGTAAAGCCCATCCCCTCCTCTCTGTAATTGACCACGTATTTGAAGATTGTAATCAAATCCCGCCTCAGGCTTCTCTTCCCCAGACTAAATAACCCTAGTTCTTTTCACCTTTCTCATAAGTCTTGCCTCTCAGGCCCCTAATCATTTTTGTTGCTCTGCATTGTGTTCTTTCTAAACTGTCCAAATCCCTTTTTTGGAGTGTGGGGCTCAAAACTGGACACAGTACTACAGGTGAGGCCTCCCTTAGGCATCTTTTAGTAGGTACCTTTCTGAAAAATGAAATGCTGGAGTAAGTTTGTTCAAATGTGAATACAATTAAATCTAGCATATCCAAAACAGGGGAAACTTGGAAGATACTACTGAAGTTTTAAAAGAATTTGTTGCCCTCAACTACTTTTAAAACACTCATCCATTTCATGTTATCAGTCTATGCTACGCAGTTTGTATCACCACCTGTTGAAACTTGCTAGAACCATTTTTTATTACACGGAGGGTTCAAAATATTATTCACTAACAAACTTCAGCTAAAACCTAATGGGCATTGGTCAACTAATTTATTATGCTGTTTAGCATAATTTATTTACTTTGGGAACCGTTTTAAGGTAAATTAACCCCAGTCCTCACTACATAGCTTGCTGGGTTCTGCCAGCAAAACTGTGGCTCTATCCACTGTGGCTACAGATGTTCAGACAGCATGAGGTGGGATCCTATGTGGGTTTCTGTAAGCGGTGTAGGTTAGTTTGGGAGAAAACAGAACACATGTTTGCCCTTTGGTGTGTGGGCACACATGGTGTCTGCACTGGCTGAGACCAGCAGGTTGGGGGCATTCCGGCATGCCTGCCAGAAGGCCCATGGGCTCCCCCAGGTGCTGGCAGTTGCAGAGCACAGCCAAATGGCTCGGCTACCCTTGATTGGCTGCCAAGTCCATGTGGCAGAAGCCTCTGTTCCCCTCCCACTCTGTTCTCCACTGCACTGCTAGCCACAGGCAGGAGGTGAGGTTACGGAGAGTATCTGTGCTGGCTCAGGTCTGAGAGAGCTAGAGGCTGGGTCCATGCAGCAAAAGCCACTATTCTTCCTCTCCTCCCACTCCTTGTCTCTGGCTGACAGCTGTCTGCAGGCAGAAGGCAGGGCTGGGAAGAGAGTCTGTGCTGGCTCAGCTGTGTGAGAGCTCAGGGTAGGGTCTGCCGAGTGCTGGGCTGGAGCAACTGAGCATGTGCTGAGTGCTAATGCACCTCCCTGAAAGCAGGGGTAGGAGTGGGAGGGCTAGCAGGGGGCTGCAAAGGCACCTGGGATACCAGCAGACAGTGACCTAACATGAATTGATAGGGGATCTGGTGCAGAAGTTTGATGCACCAGTCTAACCTAAATTGATTAAGTTTGACTGCACACTGATCCAGGTATATCTTAGACCTGGTTCCAACATTTTTAAACAAGTCTACATGAAAATTTCTGTTCTGTTATAGGTGTAGATGAGTTTTTGGGCACTTATATCAGTTTATGTATAGTGTCTGTACCTGGTCTGTTGCTGTGCCTGTGAAGGCAAAACCCCATCTTTCTGTTGACTAAGGCCTTCTACAGACATTGTTTCTCCTGGGAGTCACTGCACTCCCAGGGGAAATCATGAGTGTATAGATGTTCAGGCTTTTTCTCCCAGAGTAAAAGTGGCTGCTCCAGAAGAACAATAACTCAAGAACAACCAGGGTTAAATGACTTCCAGGACAGTTTCTCCTGGGACAGTGAATGTCTATACATGTTGACACCACATACTGACAATGGGCAGACTGGGTTAGCCAACCAGGGCTCCCCCATGCACTGCTGCCACGTGTTGCCAGGCAGACAAAAGGAGCCTGCAGAGCATACTTGGATATAGGTACAGGGCCTCCCACCTGGCTGCACAGCATCAGCACTGTAAGCTCTCCACTTTTCAGGGCCTTGGCACTCAAATGTCTCTATATGCAGTTCTGGGCAAGTTTTTCTATCATGAGAACAAACCTAAGAGAATTCTGCTGACTTTTATTTTTGCTGAGGAGGGCCTAAAATGATGGATATGTGGAAAGTTTTATGCATTTCAAGTGACAGCTCTCCTTCTGAGGTGGCAAGGGCCTTTGGGCCTCCACGTACTCTGCACCCATGCTAGGTGGAACCATTGACTTGCCTTCAACCTCAGCTGGGTTGATCTATCCTGCTGCTGCAAATTGCATCTGACTGCTGCTCTAGAAGCATTCTTGTAATACAGGGGCAGGCAAAATATGGCCCACAGGCCAGATGCAGCCCACTAGGCCCTTCTTTCCAGCCCAAAGGTCCCTAAAAAAAATTAGAAAATTAATTATGTGTGTGTGGCTGCCTGTCAAAGAAGACGAGGCACCAGCAGCACCAGGACCCAGGAGAAGCTGGTGGCAGGACCCAGCAGTTGAGCAGCAAGGCCTACCTAGCTCCATCCCAGTCCTCAACTGGAAGTCTGTTTCTTTTGGTCTAGTGACCCTCTGGCTGTTCTCTGCCCTCCTTTCATCTGAGTGGAAATTCAGATAAGATTGGATGGAGGCGGGAAACTGCCATGAGCAGCCCATGGTGCAAGATCTGGGTTGGGCTGAATCCATGCCATGCCATGCCATGCCATGCCATGCCATGCAGCATGGAGTCAGCAGGGAGCAAGGCTGGGGATGGGGGGGAGGGGGCGTGGTGGGAAAAACACCTGTGCTGCCCATACTGGGTGAGGCTGGTTCCATGCTGTGTCATACAGTCCCAGCCATGCAACCACGTGGTGCTGGTTGGGGTGGGCTGGAGCAGTGGGGGGTGGGGGGAAGCAGCAGCGGCTCGGAAGTGGCAGCAACAGTGGTGGGTGGGCACACAGGAGGGAAAGTAGAAAAGCAGCAGGGGAAGTAGCAGTGGCATGCAGGAGTACGGAGCCCATGCCAGAGACCCAGTGTGGGTCAGTAGGGGCACGGAGCCTGGGTACAGGTTCTGCCTGGCTGCACCGTCCAAGGCTCATAAACAGTACATGACAGCCACAAGCAATGGAGCTGGTCGCCCAGCCCTGTTCACTGCTATTTGCAGTTCATGGGGAGC